AAAACCAGCGATTAAATAGCAGCTTTTGGAAAGCTCGCCCAACTCAGCAGCACAACCGCTAATTACTGGGCCTGGCACAGGATGGATCAATGCTTCGAAAAGCGAACCAATTTACTAAGAAAGAAAGTTGCAACAATTTTAATTTTTTCAATTTAAATTTTTTACCTTTTTCGTATTTCGCATGGCACGCTTTGATGTAGAAGAAAACAATCAGAACAGTTTTTGGCACCTTCGATAGCAGAAGCAATAACAAAATACAGGCAAATGTTGCTTGAATTGAACAAAAAATGTGATATGATTCATATGAAGAAAGTAATATTCACAAAATATTTTTACACTTATGAAGAGTCTAATATAGGAAAAGCATCGTCTATAAAAACTGTTCCGCATATTGGACATATCGCTTTTGTATGAATTTTTTCTGCATGCTTTTTAGTATATGTTAAAAACATTGCTGGAAAACCTTAAAATGTTTGCATGAAACCATGTCGCAATAAACAGATGAAGTAATAAAACAGCTTTCTCGCTTTATTTTCTGACATTCGGCATTTTATAGGCAAATTTTCAAATAAAGCAGTGGCACCTGGTAAATTCCACTATGGGTGGGATGCAGCATGCAATAACACCATACAGAATAATTCCCATTACTTGGACATTAAAAAGCATTTTCAGAANTAAAGCAATTGCGCTTATACCTATTTTGGTGAGATCTCTTCATATGTTCATTGCTTCGTTCACAAAAAATAAAATGCTTTAATTTCACGCTTAAGTAGCGATTCTTTATACGTTCAGAAAACGTGATGCTTTCTTCCATCTTTAATGAAAATCGATTTTTGAACGAAAAAAACTTTATAGGAAATATAAAATTTTGGCCTATTTAAAAAAGTATCCACATTTATACTGACCGGAAAAATAAGTATCCCGCAAAAATTCGTCTAAAAATGTATCCAATTGGATCTATTTAGATCCAAACGGCATCCCTGGTGGCAAGCATCTTTGCTCACTCAGCTACACCCAGCCATATAAATTTGCTTTCAAATGTTGAATATCCATCAACACCACGCGATTTGTACGGATAAACATGTATGTATGTGTATGTTGTCAATGCTGTCAGAGCGGCGCTCTGCATGCTTGGGGTGTGTATGTACACTTACATATGTGTACATACTCAGATGTGAACAGTCAAATACGTGCGTAATACATTTTTTATGAAAATATTATTTTTAAATACGAACATTTTTAAACGATAATCAAATATAATGTATTCATTTTTACTATGCATTATTTCCCTCATGTACTTCGTTTATTATATAAATAAAAAATCTTGTCTAAATCCGTTCAGTAGTGTGGTTAAAATATCTCGCCTTTCCTTTATACTATGTATAGAAGATAATAACTTTAAACAGGTGGCAACCCTACTACTCAAAAAACTTAAAGTTTGTGTACATACCAAGGCCATGCACATTCATTGGTATCTCATTTTTTATCCAACAAACCGTGAAGGTCTTATAGTTTTGAAACAGGTGGCAACCCTACTCAGAAAAATAGTACATTATTACACATCCAGAGGTTAAGTCTTTTCGCATGACAGTGACGGTGCAGAACTGACGGCTACGCTTATTAGACTTGAATATAGTAATTTTATTAACAGGTGGCAACCCTATTAAAAAAAAATATTTGTCATTTTCTAGAGGTCAACCCTTTCATTTGACACCTCATCTTTTGTAATCCAACGAACGGTGCGGATCTCATAGTTTTTTAGACAGGTGGCAACCCTATTAAAAAAAAATATTTGTCATTTTCTAGAGGTCAACCCTTTCATTTGACACCTCATCTTTTGTAATCCAACGAACGGTGCGGATCTCATAGTTTTTTAGACAGGTGGCAACCCTATTAAAACTCTAAGTAAAAAGATATCCCTCTTCAGTCGATACAGAGTATATTAGAGAAAATCTCGTCAAAATCCGTTCAGTAGTTTTCGACATTACTGCGTACAAAAATCTCGACTTTCCTTTATACTACACTGAGGGAAAAAAGTATTAAAATCAAATAGAAACGTAATTGATCGTACTATAAACGTCAACGAATGTACTGTATATTGGTAAATAATCAATTTAATTACGCACATATTAAAATGGCCGCGTTCGTTCTGAAAAAGCATCCGTGAAGTGAATAATCAAGACAAAAACTAAAAAGAAGTAAGTGCGCCTGGGCCACACTGGAGAAGTGAAACTTACATTACATCCATATCGTCGTTGAAAGTACAAAACCGCGTATCGTCATTCTGAAAACCGCGTAGCTGACATTGGCTGCCAAAAATTGGATTTGCTCACACAAGCTCTTGGCTCAATCCTTATCCATTCGTCCTGAAATATACTAGCCAGAAATGCGATTGCTTTATAAAAAAGAGAACCATATGAACCATATCTAATTTGTCTCATAACCAATATACATACATACATATGTGCATACATACATACATCTGCTTTTGCTTAAGGTTTTATTTTTTGTCTTTTTTCTATCTAGATCCCTACCTCTACCCCTGTTCGTTCTAATTATATTTATGTTATTCTGTTTTCCTTTATCTTTTTTCTTATCACAAATCGATGAAAAATTCGATAAAAATGTCGTTAGCGAAATCGATAATAATATTGGTAGTAAAATCTATTAGAGACTCGATAAAAATATCGAAAGAATATCCATAACAAAATCGATAAAAATATCTTCAATCTTCATCAATAACAGAAGCGATAAAAATATCAATAACAAAATCGATAAATATTGATAACAAAATCGATAAATACCGTTAGCAAAATCGATAAATATCGATAACAAAAACGACAACAAAATCGATAACTATCGATAAAAAAATCGATAAAGAAATCGATAAATATCGATAACAATATCCATACCAAAATCGATAAATATCGATAACAAAATCGATAAATATGGATAACAAAATTGATAAATATCGATAACAAAAGCGATAAATATATATATAAATCAATAAATATAGACAACAAAATCGATAAAAATCGATAACAAAATCGGTAAATGTCGATGACAAAATCGATAAATATCGATAACAAAATCGAAAAAAATGATCGCTAACAAAATGGTTAAAAGATTGATTAAAATACCGATAACAAAATCGATAAAAATATCGATTATTATATCGATAAGTTCCGAAAATATCGATTGGAAAATTGATAACTATATCGATAAAACTTTCGATAACAAAATCGATAGAAATATCGATAACAAAACCGACAAAAATATGGATTATTTATCGATAAGTCTCGAGAATCCCGAAAATCTCTAAAATCCCAAAATAGTTCTCAGATTGAGTCTGTATGTCTCTCTCTATATCCTTTCCTCTTTAATTAGCTTTATTTTTAACTTTCTTCCCTATCTCCATCTTTACTTTTATCGGTATCCTCATCCTCCTCTTTTTCTTTACTTTCATATTTATCATTTTCTTCATCTACATATTCCCTTCACCTTTGCCCTTATATATATAAGTAAAGTGTGTAAATTTACCTTGGTCTTCATTTTTGCCTTTATCTTTACGCATCTTTGTTTTTGTTCTTATTTTTACCTTTGCCTTTATCCTCTTCTTTATCTATGTACGTAGTCACCTTTACTTTCATTCTTGTATTGGTCTTTTTCTAAGTGTTATTCTTTATCCTTTTAGTAGCAAATTATTGTTAAATTAATGCCATATGCATACACACAAGAAGCACTTGTTTCAGCCCCAACCATTTCCGTTGCACCACTTCCGTTGCACCATTTCCGTTGCATCATTTCCGTGTGCAATTTCCGTTGAATTTGCCAATTTACTCCCAACCAACCAACCACCGCTAAAGAAGTTTCACTTCAAAAAAATATATTTAACTTGCATGTGCCTGCAGTGGAATTCGAACCCTGGCCATCTCTGGATAGCAACAAATTGTGGCATGCATCTTCCCGCACTCAGCTACACCCAGGCATATAAAGTTCCTTTCAAATGTTGAATATCCATCAACACCACAGCACGCGATTTGTACGGATAAACGTGTACTATGTATGAATGTGTGTGTTGTCACCTCTCTCAGAGCGGCGCTCTGCATGCTTGGGGTGCGTATGTACACTCATATATATACTCAGATGTGAACAGTCAAATACGTGCGTAATAAATTTTGTATGAAAATATTATTTTTAAATTCGAACATTTTTAAACGATAATCAAATATAAAGTATTCGTTTTTACTATGCATTATTTCCCTCAGTGTATGTATAGATTAAAAACATTTTGGCGCTTACAATTTCGCTAATTATTTCGTCGACCTTCTCCTCCAATTTGTAGTGTGTGTCTTGACGTTGTTACAGAAATGGAGGGACCTACAGTTTAGAGGCAAATGGATTTTATAAAGAGCTTTTTCATGGCAGGAATACACTCAGAGGTATGCCATTTCTGTCAGAAAAACGTTTTCTAATTAGATTTTGCTCATACCAGGGATAGAACTCAGGTGTTACGGAGTGGTAGTACGCACCACTAACAACTCAGTCACAATTGAAGTAGATGTCAGATATTGAGCTTAAAATCCAGCTGTTAAGAAAAACGAAAATTTAACTGAAAACTTAACAAAATGGCAAAAAATTCGCAATTTTCATAATTTACTTGAAATTTTGAGGGTGTTCGAGTCAAACGGACCTTAGATTCGGATTCAGTGGATCGAAATACATGTGGGTAGATGGGTCTGGTTAAAGCACATAGGACTTTTTTTTTATGTGCCGGTGTTAGGGATGCCAAAATATGAGGAAAATTATGATCCCGGGATTTCGGGATATTTTTTTAAGTAATTGCGGGACAAATCCCGGGATTCAATTAGCGATTCGCGACAACCGTATAGATTATCGAATTTGCTCTTCGTCACCGAGTCGTTAACATTGATGGCAGGAACACCTAGTCGACCTTCCTTCATCATTTTGTACAAATTATGTACACCGGTTGTGGTTTCTTCGCTCAAGCCCTTGATGTCTTTAAGGTACTGTGGGAACTTTTCGTGCACCAAGTTAGTTAAATCGCCCCCGTCATCGAGAATCAAATTCAATGGCTTATCATCAGCGAATACCAGAGTCTGCTCAATGCACCATAAGTATTCCTCATCGGTCTCACCCTTCCAGGCATAAACTGGTACGCCAGTCTTCGCGATAGCTGCAGCTGCATGATCTTGTGTACTGAATATATATTACAGCTTGACCATTGAACTTCTGCGCCCAGCTCCACGAGTGTCTCTATCAATACAGCGGTTTGTACTGTCATATGGAGACAGCCAGCAATACGTGCACCCTTTAAAACCTTTTGTGGTCCATACTTCTTACGAATGGCCATTAGGCCAGGCATTTCATTCTCCGCGATTATGATGGCTTTGCGACCATACTCAGCAAGGTTGATGTCGGCAACTTTGTATTGTGGCTTCATTTTATCCTATTTGCGTTTGAGTAGGAACTGAAGAGTTAATTTAAAAAAATATCTTAATTGTTGCCGATTTAAGGATATAGAACTATTTTATTTGAATTTGGCGCAAATTCACATTCAGAACTCACAACCGGCTTGAATGGAGATGAAGGAAAAAGTAAACTTGAATCTGCTTGGAGTCTGAAAAGGAAAAATATTAGTGTTAATTACAAATTAAATTTACTAATTTTTACAACCTCTACAACCTTCTTACCTGCGATTGCGTAATTCCCTCGTGTATGAATGTAATTTCCATCCCATTCTTCAAATGAAATGAATGAATTTTCTTAATTGTCCTATTTGTGAAACAGGGCTTGGACTTATGAAATTATTTAGTACGCACCACTCTAACAATTGGAGTAAAAACCAATTTTCGTAGTAGCCGGGTTTCATCTTTTTTCACATTCGCAATATCACAAAATTGGAATATTTCACATAATGATCAAAGTAATAAACTTAACTTAAACAGTAATCAGCTCTTTCCAATTTTAATTTATTTATACATACATATATAGACAGAATATTTAAATATTGTCAATGTAGTGACTCATTTTCAGTAAGATCATCGTCATCCATACCTAAATATTGACATGAATCAAAACTTTATTATAGAGTAGATTTTTTAATAAAACGAACTAGAGGAGTAGATTAAACACTTTTCTAAAACGTACTAAACCCATATCAGAACGTAGTGACGTCCTAGTACGGTTGTATAAATTCACATATACATACGTTCCACAAATGGAAAAAACATATGTTGATGCATACCATCGCACCATTCGATCAATCATTCTTAATCGTTAGCTTTGCTAACATAAATACATTTTACACACTCAAAGAGGCAGTGTCATGAGGAAATATCAATGCACTAACTTTTTGTAGTTATTTCTCATATTTTTATGTAAAATTCAAAAGGAAATAAGACATTTTGTAATAAAATTTGAAATTCAACTTATGAATTCTGCTGCATATGAGCTACCCTGTTTTTAGCCGAGTATCACCTACAGTGGCATCCGAACTTTTTTTTTGGGGTGGTAGGCTAGTTGTAGGGTTGCGAGAATGGCTAAAAACTCCGAGTGTAGATTAATACGTTGTCGACAACTCCATGCAATGAAGTTGAATTGCTAATTACGAATATTAGTAGATCAAGTCATTAACGGAAAGGATCTTTTTCATAAGAGCACTTAATATTGGCACTTCCAAACACCATAAATGCAATTTACAATTTTCGGTGTGATAAAATTTTACCCTGCCCATGCATCCCTGCACAATGGAGTGTATGGCATGTTTGCGATCCACTTGTCATTTTCGTGGGTTGCAAACTTGGATTAAGCCATATTTACACGCGTTAGTTGGAGAAGGGCAATTGATAGAAAATAATGCCACGTTCAGACTGACCAATCTTGTTGCAATTAACAAACGATTTTTTTTATGGCAAATGCTTAAATAATTCCTATCTTATTCACTCGCCACCCAACAATAAAAAAAGGTAATCAACTGCGAACAAGTTGAAAAACAAAATTAAAGCAGGAAATATTTCAGGAAAAAATGGGTCGCTTCAGCACATTAAAACAGAAGGCCATACAGAACCCTCAACGTTTTGGTTTGGCGTGCCGATTGTGTGAAGGGAAACACCCAATTCGTCTGTGCCCAATTTATCGTGCCAAGACACCAGAAGAGAGGCTACGGGAGGCGCTGCTAGGACATTTCTGCGGCAACTGTCTTTCTATGGACCACAAAACCGACAATTGTACTAGCGAGGCGAGATGCCGTCAATGCAACGAGAAGCACCATTCTACCCTCCATATCGATGAACATAGAGACTCATGGAGGTCAGAGAATGAAACCAGCAAGCCGTGGAGCGTTCAAGTAGAGGAAGAAGAAAACGCTGATTGTGCGATTTCCATTTGCGCCTCTGACTCTGGAACGGAGACTAGGCCTCTTCGTCCAGAAAATGAACAGAGCGACTTATGTGGGTCCGGAGCGGAGACTAGGCCTCTTCGCCCGGCCATGAATGGGGGATCGGAAACCAGGTCTTTTCGACCCCTGCTCCAACATGAACGCGACAACTTAGAAGACCGCGCGCACACACGGCGTCTTGGATCACCACGCAGAATTCAGCGACGGCGCGGAGTGGAAACTAGGCCTTTCCGCCTGCGTCGACAGAACGACAATAGGCTTGCTCCTAGGTTCCGCCAGGTAGCCACATCCAACATGTTCCGCAACGGGCTCCTGGGACAACACGCTATCGCGGGTCCAACATTGAGCCCTATGATTGCTATTGCGCCGACAGCAGTGGTAAAAGTCGAGGCGATGGGGCGCCTTCATCTAGTCCGCGCTCTCATCGATAGTTGCTGCGCCACCACGATAATCTCAGCGGACCTAGCTCGGGAGTTGAGGCTGGAACAGACACGGGTCGGAAATCAAACGGGTTGCGTCTTATGCCTTCGAGGAAAGCACGGCGACAATAAACGTATTGCGACCCACGCGACGGTTAAAAGGAACTACCACCGCGTATCGCCAGCCAGCAACGTAGATCCTGCCGTCGCCACAGCATACCAGCACATTCGGTTGGCCGACCCACACTTCTATAGTTCGACTCCCATTCGCCTAGTCCTTGGCATTGACGTTTACGCCGACGTAATCCTGCCGGGTATACTTCCAACTTCCTTTGGGCCTCTGCTAGCTCAGAGCACCATCTTCGGATGGGTACTCTCTGGCGTTACCAGAGCATAAACATAAACAAATACATTTATATTTATAACTGTTCTGATTGAATGAATTTCTACATATGAATTTTTTGAAATTTATTTTTATGAATCTTTCTTCTTAATAAAAGTGCACTTGAAAATGTCCACGTATCTTTACTCTTATATTTTACATCTCTTTCCCTCAAGCAGCAACTTAGATTCGAGGAGAACGCAAGTGAAACGATGCGGGACGACGAACGAGGAATCTGGCTCCTCTCCAACGAAACCAGAGAAACACATTTTTTATGAATTTTTATAATATTTTGTTTGGACATGTTAATAGTTGATCTGGTAGTTGCTGCATAAATTTTGGATGTTGCTTGCCGCAAGGGGGCCGGTATGTTTAGGCCTTCACCCTAAATATTTCTATATTTTTTCGACCCGCCCTAATGTTGGCATATGTGCATATGTACACACACATACATGTGCACACGTACTAATATGAATTCGCGCCGTTAACTAAAGTTTCCCGCCGGACAATAAACCTTCGTTAAGTTTCCCCTTAACATCGGTTGTCCGGCGGTCCGATTAAAAACCCCGCACGTCCAGTACTTCACTTCGGTTTTAGCAGTTCAACGAGCACACAGCAGCTACCAGGCCACTCCAGTCCAAAGGTATTTAAATATTTTGTTATACCCACAGATATATATATATATTGAAATAAATTGACCCTGTATTGAATTAAAACTAAAATCACAATATCTTGGTTGTATTTATTTCTTTCTGCTATATTTACACCGGAGCGTAATTCCACCACGCCCCCGTGTAAACAAACTGAAAATTTTTCTTTAAGGAGCTAAGGTAATGTGACCAACTATTTCATAGCTCAAAGAAGTACAGCTAAGGTTGGGTTAAGTTCACGCCGCGAGCCGAATACGAAATTTCGATTGCGGCTAATTTCCATCCCTGGGAGCTCAGTGTTTGATCAGAAGTGCGAGAGAAACTGCTTTCACTTTAGCCTCGCGAAAGTTGGACAGTCCAAAAGAAAGTGGGGAGATGATTCCACTTCACCTTCCTCTTGACAGCGGATACAAAACGATCAGTTGAAATTCCTAGTCTCACCGCATGAATACCAATCGCACAATGGCAAGTCAGAACCCCCATCAATAGCCCTTCAGAGGTAACGTGTTTTAAAATGCCCTATAAAGCATTTCCTGCAGCAAAGAATCGTCTTATTTTCCTTTTTTATGACACAAAAGTACCCGGTGTCCCTTAGACTAATAGCAGATCGTGCTACGACAATTCTGTCTGCAATATCCACAGGCGCCGTGTTCAACATATGTATGTTAAGCGCCAGTGTAGGTGTGTTCCTAATGCTCCGGTAATTCCTATTTTACAAGTGTAGCCTTTTCTAGTGAGTTCCACCAGGCATGGGCTGCTTGACTATATAGGCCTAAATCTGGTTTCCTAGAGCTAATGAATTAACCCCATTAGACCCCACCTTTACCGACAGCCGCCGTTGATCGCCCACCTATGTAGTTACCTGGTTCAGGTAACCTTGAGCCAGATCGAAAAGGGGTGTATAGAAATCGTCCTTTAACCAACAGTTCCACATCATCTACATGGGCGATCACCCGACAGCCCACTGTTTCCAGTTCCTCCAGAAGGTCGTGTACAACCGAAATCCAGAGCAGGGGAGAGAGAACACCCCCTTGTGGAGTGCTTCTATTCACTCTTCACTGAGTGCAGACGCTCCCCCACTCTGCCGCGACAGCTCTGTCGCGAAGTAAGCTGTAGATACGGCTTAAACGGTTGGTTTCAAACCCCAGACTATGAATATACTCGACTATTGCTTCTGGAGTGACATTGTTGAAGGCCCCCTCGATATCAAAGAAGGCCCCTACTGCATAATCTTCATGCGTGAAGGCTTCCTCTGACTACTTTACCTATGTGTGCAGGTCGGTATTTACCGACCTTTTCTTGCCTTGAAAGACAGTCACGAGGAATCGCGTTTCTTATGTACAGATCTATCAGTCTAGCGTTTTTAGTAAAAGCGTTTTTAGCAAAAACCATAAATCCCTGGGCTTTTTTCATTTAAAAGATATCGAATTCACTATCGTGCAAGAACGCACGTTTATTTAATACTACGTGGTATTTCAAACTGTTACGTGAAGCTAAATTGGAATCGATTTGACGATATCGCACAAACGATGAAACGTTTTTTGGTTTTCATGAAGCAAGACAATCGCCAATACGAGATCGCCATATGTGATTCATGCCTTGATTTCAGCATGATTTGCTTATACAAATTAAAAATGAGCCGTAAATTATGATAAAGTGAACAAGCTTTTATTCTTCAGCCGCGAAATGGTTACTACGTTCTCGTAAGCGGTATATTTTGTCTTCTTCAGTGTAATTTTTTCGTTCTGTCTGGTTCGAGTTTTTGTCCTTAATTTATGTTCATTTTTCTTAGGTAATGTGCTTTTCGTCGATGATTAATTATTAGAAATGCCATGGTGTCCTTTTTTTATTTTAAAAGCAGGTAATAGCCTGCAGGTATGTAAAGGTGATTTTTGTTCTGGTGGTACTTTGTGGTGTGTTCGGAGTGTCCATGCC